TTCCATCTATAAGAGAGTTCCATCTATAAGAGAATTGGCAAAGGGCTACATAGCTTTGAACTATTTACGCACATCTTTAATCTGTGGACACACATTTAATAGCGTGAAGTCTACAAAATTATTTTGTTGAGGAATTGAATATATCTCTTCTTAAATGTATCCAGTAAGTTTTGTTCACCTATTAAGAGTGTCAGTATTATTCCTTAGTCAATGGTGATTTTCCATATATAGGTGTGTGTAGGAACATAGGACTTACAGACAACTCCTTTCCTTTTCATGTAATGCAAGTGTGCCTCGCTTTGAAGCCATTGCAGTATCTCCTGCTTGTAATGGTTTTGTTTTGTTTTGTTTTTAATCACCATTACCTTCACTTGCTGCTAGTGTAGTTTTTAATCTTTGAAAAGCTTTGAGCCTTTTCTTGTCCAGAGGTAAGGCTAAATAAAAACCTTATGCATGTCTTCTGACTCACCTAAAAAGTCCTCTTATAGGAATATAAGGAACAGATTTAGTTCATAACCTGAGGACTCCTTGTAAATATAAATATGTATAAATAAAAAAATATGAATTTAGTAAAGAAACAAAACAATAATTTTAGAGCTTGACTTTCAAACATAGAAGTAGAATTTCTTTTGTGAACTCTTTCCACAACCATTCCCATGCTGTCTTCTTTATTATGATTTGGTTAGATTATTTCAGAAAAATTACATTACCTCATATCAAGAAGTAGCTACATGTTCCTTCAAGTGTATCTGGTATATATGTAGGTGCATGTTCTATAATATTCATTGCATATGAATTATGAGTCCTTCAGCATAATTTCAAATGTTTAAGAATGGGGGTTCAGGAACTTCTATTCCAATTTGTTATTATCTCTCTCTTCTTTTTAAGTGATAGGTACACTATAGCATATACATACAACACTCATCCCAAATATGTCCAAATTTTCTATTATAAATGAAACATTATTCAAGGGACTTACTTATGAATTAAGCAGATAAAATCCTTTACCCATGGAATATTCATTTGAGTAACTTTATAAAGAACAAAGTACTTTGTGCAATTTGGTTTGTATAAAAGAAAATCACTTTCCTTCCCCAAGAGATGATTTGCTATAATTTTTAAATAGAGCTTTTACAATATTTTTCTGTGCAATTGAAGGGGGGGGGAATCTACATTTTTATCAATATAAGCTGTCTCTCTTTTAAAAGAGGTCCCAGTTGTACTTTTTAATCTATCTTTTTATATTTCCCAAGACAGTTTTAGCCATATGTTAATTACTCTCTAGCTATTTCTTCAGGGCTTCATACTTGCAGAATTGAAAGGAATAGCAAATGCTTAAAATGAGATGACTGTCAACAATGGGCAAATAGGCAGATAATATTGTGATAGTAACTTGGATTTGGGTGGGTAGATCAGAACTGCTTTTATAGGCTAAGTACTTAGCATAATGTTTTCATTTGATAATCATAACAGGTTTTTTAAGAACAGCTTAGGATTCCTATAGCTGTTTCACTTAAAAAGGTAATAAATTATTTCTAAGAAGCTAAGTAGCAAGACCCAATTTCTACTGCTATTAAGTGGTAAAGTCAGGTCTGGTCTTCGTTTTGTTACGTCCCATCGAGTCTTGGTTCTTGCTTATACTGTGCTATTAGGTTTCTTCAAGTGCACTGCATCTCATAGAGACTCACTGAACAAGAGGTCTGAGCCTTGTCCTTTGCTGGATCATTCATGGTTTCCGTGATGCTCAAGGCCATTCTGGCAGTTACTGTATCAGTTCGTGTCACAGAGGATCTTCCTTCTTTCACTGACCCTCAATTTTCCCTGCATGGCATCTCTTTCTTTCCAAGGAATGGTTTCTCCTGAAAATTTGCCCAAAGTGAGCGAGCTGATGTTTCTCTGTTCATACCTCTAAGGAACAGTTGGGTGGCATTTCCTTTCAGGCAAATAAATGTATTTGTGTTTTTTGGCAGTCCCTAGTCTATATACTACAATGCAAAGGCAACCATCCAACCTTCAGCCACATTGGAAGCAATTGCTAATGTCATGGCTTGGATCATAATGTAGTCTTTAAATTGACACCCTTTCTTATTAGCACTTTAGAAGTCCTTGACAGCAGATTTCCTCAATGTTTATATTAGATATTTTTATTAGGTTACATTAACACACGGAGGTTATTTCTCGAAGGCATGTATGCCCATACCCCTACCCTTTCCTTCCTTTCTTTGTTGCTTCTCCAGGACCTGTTGACACCTCTTGCCTTCTTGTATTCTGTTTGCTGGCACAGTTATACAGCCTTCACGCTCACCTTGACTGAGTTGATCAAGTCAGTGTTGGCTCAATGTCTAGACCAAATGCTCAGTGTGGTCAATTTATTTTAGTCACTTTGTTCAAAAGGCACATGGAGGTTCCTGGAGTTTTGACCACAGTCCCAGCAGCCTCATCCCAGTGACATCGCAGAGTGACTGTGTAGCATGCTTCCGCTTCTCTCCATTGCTGCAGGTGGCTCTCATATGGTAGCGGCTTCTAAACAGTTAGAAGGCTCTCTATTAGTCAGTGAACGTGACAACGAGGAACAAGGGACTCTTGAGTATCCACACAAACCGACTGGCTCGTGGGTGCACTGGAGTTCTCTTTTCTATGGGAGTTGTTCTCTAATTAAGAAGCCCCCCCCCCTTTCAGAGACAAATAGAATATTAATTTTCAATTCTGCAGTTGTGAAAACTTATAACCC